CCCCAAAACCCCAAAACCCCAAAACCCCAAAACCCCAAAACCCCAGTATATTATGTCTGATTGGATAAATTAAATACCTACTCAAATGAAGTCGAGCAGTATTATTTCTGAGCATTCTTTGGCAATGAAAAGCTTTGAGATTTCCCATGAAAATTATCAGGAATTGAACAAGGAGACTCATCCAGAGGACATCGAGTTGACCAGGGCTGTGTTCACAGTCTTCAAAATTGCAATTCCAAGCAGCCTGACTCTCTACGTGGAGTACATGTGCCTTTTCTTAAATGTATTGTTCGTTGGATTTGTTGATGACCCTATCCTTCTGGGTGGCCTCGGCCTAGGACTTTTTCTAATAACCCATTTAATGTTGTCGTGGGGAGTTGGGCTCTGTGGAGGACTTGACACACTTGTGTCACAAGCTTTTGGAAGAAACGAGCTGAGGTTATGTGGTACATATCTCAATACTTCAAGGATAATTCTGTGTGTCCTCTTTGTTCCTCAGTTCTTGATCTTGTTTAACAGCAAGTACTTCCTTGTGGCTATTGGACAACCTGAAGAAACAGCAGAGATTGCACAGACTTATGCAAGAATCTCGTTAATAGGTGAATTCTTTCATATGCAGTTTGAAGCAACAAGGAGGTTTCTGATGAATCAAGGAATCTTTACACCTGTGCTGTACTGACTTGCGATCTCAACATTCACCCATGTGGTTGGTCTATGCCTTGCAATATTTTACTTCGAGTCTGGAGTTGAAGGAGTAGCCACAGTGACTTTAATCTCAGCTACCTTAAGTTTTGTACTAGTTCAGGTTTATGTCAATTTTAAAAGTGAAGCTGTTTTGTCTGATAAATGGTTTTTTCAAGATATTGAGGCTGTCAGAATGATTCCTGAATATCTCAAGTATGGACTTTCAACCACAATGATGACTTGAGTTGAGTGGTTAGGGTATGACATTCTCAATATATTTGCAGGCTGGCTCGGACCAAAGAAACAGACTGCATGTGTCGTAATGCTACAGGTCTGGTATATTATTACTTGTAATTCTTTTGGCATCACATATTCTTGCACAGGCTTGATTGGATCAGCCTTAGGTGAGAACAAGCCTAAGACAGCAAGAAAATACTCTTATGCTGCTTTGATAGTTGGATATTCTGAGAATATAGTGCTTCTAGCATTATACATTATTTTTAGGAGTCATATCATTTCACAGTTCACGACTGACGAGGAAATCAATTATTTGATCAATGACTCATTTGTTCTCTACATTATTATGGTGTTTAATGACTTATCCGCTCAAGTTTGTGGAGGTATTGTCAGAGCAATAGGGGCTCAGAACAAAGGAGCCATTATCCAGATAACATCCCTGTGGGTAATTACAATTCCATCTGCATTTCTTCTGGCAATTTACTTTGAATATGGATTCAAAGGCTTATGGTACATTACTCCTTTCGGAGTATTTTGAATCCATGCTGGCTATGTAACTTTAGTATTGCTAACACCATGGAAGAAAGTTGCAGAAGAGGCTTCAATAAAGCTATCAGAGCTTAATTAAATTAAAAATATCTTCAATCCCAGAGGTATGATAAGGGGTTTTGGGGTTTTGGGGTTTTGGGGTTTTGGGG